TTATGGTGAAATTGATGGAATCTGTAAAGTAAATTCCCATCTTTAAGAGTACAAAATTTAATAGGTTATATAATTTTATGAAGTTCCTCTCAGTGAAGGAGACTAAAAGATCATGCCATAATTTAGTGAAGTTCCTTAGAATTGGCCCTCAGCCAGTGAGGTGCCATATAGTGGAGTGATGTTTTTACATTGATAAATTCTTAGAAAATTGTGGTGGGTAAACCTGTCATTCAGTTATGATCTAAGTTGATGGGCAGGATGGGTGGGAGTGAAGATAGCCCACCAGCTATATGCCAGCCAAAAGTGCGAGAGACGTTCAGTTTCTTCAACACCTTTGCTAAATTAGTTCCAGGTACAGTAACTCAAATTATAGTATGGAAATTGTGAATGAGATATGTATTCCCTAGACTTATTTTGTTGCATATTATTATAATTATTCTTCTGTATATATGTTGCATGCTTTTCTTTATTGTTTAGTATACATTCATCACCCATGCTTCACACCCATATAAGAGTGTTGGTAAAACTATACTCTCATACATTCCCCTCTTTGCCTCCAAGGACAAAGTTCTTTGTCTCCACAGACTCCTAAGTGCACCACTCACCCTTTTCCCCTCATCAATTCTATGATTCACCTCATCCTTCATAGACCCATCCGCTGACACGTCCACTCCCAAATATCTGAATACATTCACCTCCTCCATACTCTCTCCCTCCAATCTGATATCCAATCTTTCATCACCTAATATTTTTGTTATCCTCATAACTTTACTCTTTCCTGTATTCACTTTTAATTTTCTTCTTTTGCACACCCTACCAAATTCATCCACCAATCTCTGCAACTTCTCTTCAGAATCTCCCAAGAGCACAGTGTCATCAGCAAAGAGCAACTGTGACAACTCCCACTTTATGTGTGATTCTTTATCTTTTAACTCCACGCCTCTTGTCAAGACCCTCGCATTTACTTCTCTTACAACCCCATCTATAAATATATTAAACAACCACGGTGACATCACACATCCTTGTCTAAGGCCTACTTTTACTGGGAAATAATTTCCCTCTTTCCTATGTACTCTAACTTGAGCCTCACTATCCTCGTAAAAACTCTTCACTGCTTTCAGTAACCTACCTCCTACACCATACACCTGCAACATCTGCCACATTGCCCCCCTATCCACCCTGTCATACGCCTTTTTCCAAATCCATAAATGCCACAAAGACCTCTTTAGCCTTATCTAAATACTGTTCACTTATATGTTTCACTGTAAACACCTGGTCCACACACCCCCTACCTTTCCTAAAGCCTCCTTGTTCATCTGCTATCCTATTCTCAGTCTTACTTTTAATTCTTTCAATAATAACTCTACCATACACTTTACCAGGTATACTCAACAGACTTATCCCCCTATAATTTTTGCACTCTCTTTTGTCCCCTTTGCCTTTATACAAAGGAACTACGCATGCTCTCTGCCAATCCCTAGGTACTTTACCCTCTTCCATACATTTATTAAATAATTGCACCAACCACTCCAAAACTAAATCCCCACCTGCTTTTAACATTTCTATCTTTATCCCATCAATCCCGGCTGCCTTACCCTCTTTCATTTTACCTACTGCCTCACGAACTTCCCCCACACTCACAACTGGCTCTTCCTCACTCCTACAAGATGTTATTCCTCCTTGCCCTATACACGAAATCACAGCTTCCCTATCTTCATCAACATTTAACAATTCCTCAAAATATTCCCTCCATCTTCCCAATACCTCGAACTCTCCATTTAATAACTCTCCTCTCCTATTTTTAACTGACAAATCCATTTGTTCTCTAGGCTTCCTTAACTTGTTAATCTCACTCCAAAACTTTTTCTATTTTCAACAAAATTGTTGATAACATCTCACCCACTCTCTCATTTGCTCTCTTTTTACATTGCTTCACCACTCTCCTTAACCTCTCTCTTTTTCTCCATATACTCTTCCCTCTTTGCATCACTTCTACTTTGTAAAAACTTCTCATATGCTAACTTTTTCTCCCTTACTACTCTCTTTACATAATCATTCCACCAATCGCTCCTCTTCCCTCCCACACGCACTTTCCTGTAACCACAAACTTCTGCTGAACACTCCAACACTACATTTTTAAACCTACCCCATACCTCTTCGACCCCATTGCCTATGCTCTCATTAGCCCATCTATCCTCCAATAGCTGTTTATATCTTTCCCTAACTGCCTCCTCTTTTAGTTTATAAACCTTCACCTCTCTCTTCCCTGATGCTTCCATTCTCCTTGTATCCCATCTACCTTTTACTCTCAGTGTAGCTACAACTAGAAAGTGATCTGATATATCTGTGGCCCCTCTATAAACATGTACATCCTGAAGTCTACTCAACAGTCTTTTATCTACCAATACATAATCCAACAAACTACTGTCATTTCGCCCTACATCATATCTTGTATACTTATTTATCCTCTTTTTCTTAAAATATGTATTACCTATAACTAAACCCCTTTCTATACAAAGTTCAATCAAAGGGCTCCCATTATCATTTACACCTGGCACCCCAAACTTACCTACCACACCCTCTCTAAAAGTTTCTCCTATTTTAGCATTCAGGTCCCCTACCACAATTACTCTCTCACTTGGTTCAAAGGCTCCTATACATTCACTTAACATCTCCCAAAATCTCTCTCTCTCCTCTGCATTCCTCTCTTCTCCAGGTGCATACACGCTTATTATGACCCACTTCTCGCATCCAACCTTTACTTTAATCCACATAATTCTTGCATTTACACATTCATATTCTCTTTTCTCCTTCCATAACTGATCATTCAACATTACTGCTACCCCTTCCTTTGCTCTAACTCTCTCAGATACTCCAGATTTAATCCCATTTATTTCCCCCCACCAAAACTCCCCTACCCCCTTCAGCTTTGTTTCGCTTAGGGCCAGGGCATCCAACTTCTTTTCATTCATAACATCAGTAATCATCTGTTTCTTGTCATCTGCACTACATCCACGCACATTCAAGCATCCCAGTTTTATAAAGTTTTTCTTCTTCTCTTTTTTAGTAAATGTCTACAGGAGAAAGGGTTACTAGCCCATTGCTCCCGGCATTTTAGTCGCCTCATACGACACGCATGGCTTACGGAGGAAAGATTCTTTTCCACTTCCCCATGGACAATAGAAATAAAGAAGAACAAGAGCTATGTAGAAAAACGAGAAAAACCTAGATGTATGTATATATATATGCATGTGCGTGTCTGTGATGTGTGACCAAAGTGTAAGTTGGAGTAGCAAGATATCCCTGTTATCTAGCGTGTTTATGAGACGTGTTTATGAGACGTATAATAATAATACATATATAATAATAATGTACTACATAATAATAATAGACGACTTCAAAAGGCCGTCACTAGATGGCAGTGTTTACCACAACAAAGAGGGAGTGGTTGTGGCTGCCTCCACCTGTTACATAATGACAGTTTATGCATTCTGGAGTATATATCAGGTTTCTATGCTATTTATATTGTTTATTGTTTCATATTAGATGAGCTGTGATAGATAGATAAGCTGTAGAGTTGATAGCGAAATATTCAAGGAGTATTTTGTCCTGTCTCCAGACAAACTCTTGTCGGCTGCCGCTGCTGCCACATGTATAATGACATATCTTGTTCATTCTAGAGTATATATCAGGTTTCTATGTTATTTATATTGTTTGTTATGTCATATTAGATGAACTCTGATGGATAAATAAGCCATAGAGTTGATATTAGCAAAATTATTGAAGTACAGAATTCCACTGGAACGGATTAATTGCATTTCAATTAATTTAAATGAGGAAAATTGACTCTTCAAACGAGCAAATCCAGTTCCGAAGAAGGTCATGGAACGGATTAAACTCGCAAGTAGAGGTTCCACTGTATAGCCATATTCAACATTGATGTTCACAGTTTTTTTTTTTTTTTTTTGGGGGGAACACCGGCTGTCTCCCACTGGGCCAGGGTGCCCCCCCCCCCAATAGTTTTTCTTTTTACACTTGGTAATTTATACAGGTGAAGAGGTTACTAGCCCCTTGCTACCCCTGGCATTTTAGTTGCCTTTTACAACTTGTTGAATTCACTATATAGAAACTATCAGTTCTTCCACTTTTCTGTCATACAGGAGGGCCCCATTTGTATGTCTTAGGTTCCTGACCCTGTGCAATAAACAAAAATTGCCAGATGGTGGAAAAGTTTTTTTGATGTCAGAAGTGTCTAAAATGACATGCCGTGTTTACATTATATGTAATATATTAAGTTCTCAATACAACTAGGCATAAAAAAATAAAAGTATGATACACAGAAATTACAATACCTGCCTTAAAATATAGTGCCAGTCAGCCTTCCCTTGTGCAGCTGTTATGCGAAAACGGTGGAAAAACCTGTAAAGCACCTAACATAATGAACAATGGCTCAGTTGAAATCTAACAAAAAGTGGAAGACCAAAAAGAGGGTGCCGAATACTTGAGGCCCTCCTGTGCAGTGTGGAAGCTGTATACGTAACCAGATATGTTAAATACAGTAGTGAGGCGGTTTAATCAATCCTATGTTACGATAACCATATAGGTGTATGATCATGAAAGGATGCAAGAAAATAGATAAGGAAGGCTACAGCATCAACACATTAAACAAGAGAGAATTGCAAATAAATAGCAAGTGTCAGAATGACACATGAAAATATTTCTTAAATGGTACATATGTATATGGATTATGTAGGCCTTCTTCCAGTACTCATTAGGTCTTAAGTAAGTTTTTAAATGCATATGTGGTTTGCTCATATTGTTGATAAAAGTTGGTCCAAAAATGTATGTACATGTGTGATATGCTGCTGTTTTTAGATGTAAGTGTACATTAATAACCTGTTTTATGTGCTGTGTTCAGTATATTAATGCTTAATTCTTTTAAGGTATTATTTCCATGATTTGTATTATTTGTTATTTTTTAAATATTTTTTTCCTTCTAGAGGTGTCTGGCTCTGGAGTGGAACATGTCCAACATAATCACACATATCACATGTCTCCAGAGGGTCCATCAGGGCTGTCAAGACCTACTGCAAGAGATAAACAAAGAAGTAATATACTGTATAGTTTACTGTGTGTTTTATATAAATGGTTCAGTAAATTTTGTTGCTGTTAAGCAGCAACATGGACAAATGTGAAAGTTAAACACTATGTAGGATAGATAATTGTTTTGATGTTTCAATATTCTGCATAAACAAAATGCTATCTGTGTAGTGCTTTACTCAGATTTTTATTACTGTATACATATTGAAAAACACTTTTGAGTTTGCCCTTCTCTACCTTAAGAATTTGCTGCTATGACAAGTATTAATTTTTGTTGTTGTTTTCTATAAGAATTATGGTACACTCCTATATAAGAGTTTTATTTTTTAAGGTTTGTGTTCAAGGCCACAGTATACAAACTGATAAGACTCCTGATAAGGCCCATATTTTGTATGTATATGATCAAGCACCTCAATGACAATTTGAATGTGTACGGCATACAGAACCTTATGGAGCACATTTATAATAAGTACAACCACCCTTATTTATTTTCAGTAGTTAACCCTTTCAAGGTCTGTGCTGTAGTATTACGTGATGAGCTCAGCTCGCTCAAATAAACTGTGAGCTGTGAATTTGGGACTAAATATGACAGAATGGGTCGATGCAGTAAGTGTGCACTATATAAAATAAATCTTGCAGCACACAGTGCACAATGAGGAAAAAATAACTGCAACTGTGTTTTTTATTTAAAACGGCAACTTTGCAATGTAATTTTGTATGGTTTTTATGGTTATATTCTCGATTTCTTGGTCTCATTTGATAGAATGGAAGATATATTACAGAAATAGAGGTGGTTTTGAGGACTCGAAATAGCTTGAAATTGAGCTCAAAGTAGTGAAATGTTTGATTTTTGCCGATGTTCAAAACAAATCGCAGCACACGTCCAGTACACATAACTGGTGGGTTTAATATGCATTCATGAATGCACTGATATTATTTATACACTTATAACAATATTGCATAACAGTAAATCTTCTATTTTTTGTGTGAATAAAAAATCAAAATGAAATTTATATGTAAAGCCTGTAAACATAACTAATGAACAGAGAAAATGTTATTTTAGTACCAGGAATGCCTGCATGGTTTATTCTGGCTTCTTTTTTGAAATTTGTCAAATTGGCCAAATTACCAAATTCTGATCACTTTATAGGGCAGTTGAAATAGTTGATTGGGTGGTTACCTGTGCTCACTCGATAAAAAAGAAGGCATACTAGTGAAATAGCTAAGAATTTTGTCAACTGGAACAGTGTAATTGGCCTAAAATAGGCCTCAAAGTGGGCAAAATTACCATTACGTAAATATCACTGATATGGTAAAATTCACAATAGCGTAATTTTGTCAGTTTTCCATCAAATTTTGTACTTTTTGTTTTTATTACTCTCCCTGTGGAGAGGTTTCAGATCAGGGGTGTCTGGACCCTGAAAGGGTTAAGAATGAATTAAATTATTGAGAGGAAGATGAATTACCAAAATTTGTTAAGATGTTAGAAAGTATAAAAAAAAGAGGAGGATAAAGACATAAAAAGGAAATTGTGTGCTTGGAAACATAGGAGTGTTATTGACTTTATTGAATTTTGTATTGAACATGTGGAATGCATCAAGTTAGTTTATAACACAGTATAGATAGAAAATACTTTTTCTAGGGTATATGATACATCTCTTACAAGTGGATTTAACCAGAGATATGATACCTTGTGGCTCAGTTAATAGCATCCTATGCTCATGTACTATGCTCAGGTTTTGTCATTTTCTCCCTGGCATGGATGTAATGTTGGGCATGTTTCCTTACACCTATTGCCCCTGTTCCTCAGCTGTAAGTAGGTACCTGAGTGTTAGTAGACTGTTGTGGGTCGCATCCTGGGCAAGAAGATTGAAGGACCCCCCAGTGGAAATAAAACTGTCCCCCAGTGATGTACTGACTTTATTAACAGACAGGCCTGGCCTGGAGCCAAGCTGTGAGACTAAGAAAACTCAAAGCTCTTCTAGAGAGGGAGGTTAATATATGGGAGATCTTTGCAACACAGGCTTTTTCATATACAGTGGACCCCCGGTTAACGATATTTTTTCACTCCAGAAGTATGTTCAGGTGCCAGTACCGACCGAATTTGTTCCCATAAGGAATATTGTGAAGTAGATTAGTCCATTTCAGACCCCCAAACATACACGTACAAACGCACTTGCATAAATACACTTACATAATTGGTCGCATTCGGAGGTGATCGTTATGCGGGGGTCCACTGTATAGCGAGTCTAAAGTTTCTGCATTTTGGGCGAGAGGGATGTGTTTGATGGCTTAGAATGGGCATTGTCACCACTGAAAATTTTGTAGTGGTAGTTTGGAATTCATGAAGCAGCATGGTATGCAAGTGTCTGTTGTGGGCAAAGGAGATTCCTTTTATGTTACTTTGTCTTTCTTGCATACGTTTATCAGCTTTTTCTCTTTCCCCTCACTTTCCCCTTGTATTAGTGTGTAGTCTCCCCCTTTCATATTCTTGTATCATCCTTTCTGTTTCCTTTCCCCCTCCCCAATTTCTTCTTGTATCAGTCTTGTGTGTCTTCATCCAATTTTCCTTGTAGCAATCTTGTCAATGTGTTTCGCTTCTATTCATTTGTATCTTTGATATCTGTTGCCTCTTGGGTCTGCCCATCTAGGAAAGCAGAATGTAAAATTTTCACCCAGCTTTTTCAATGTCTAAGAATTACCTGAAAAGCATGTCACAGAATTGTGTAAGTTAGACTATCATGGAAATGAAGCTTACTAATTTTTTTGCAATGTGAAAAAAAGAGAGTAGAAAGAATAAGGGTTTCTGTTCTGAACAACATGAAAATGAGAAGGTAGAAGAGAAGAAACAAAGCAAGGGTAAGGAGCCAGTACCATAAAAGAATAAGAAAGAAATTGTTATGTGTAAATATAGTATTACTGCAATACTTGTGTTGCTAGAGGAAAGAGCTATTACTTTGAGAAAGGGTTTGTGTTTTTGATGCCCACAGAGTACAAGCATGTCTTAATAAACATTTCGAGTTGGTTCCAAGAAATGAGGGCATTACTATGGCAACTTTAAACCGAATGTTGAATTACAAGGCAAAAAACAAGGGTTTCAAAAGAATGTTTAATACTAACGTTATTTGTATCCAGTATAATATAAAAGTTCTTTAATACTCTAAGTAGCCATCCATGTATATAGTACAGGTCCTCCATCACAAATCCGGCATCATTGGGACCTGTAGTGTGCCGGATTACAGAGTGGATAGGTTAGAATACACTTAATAAAATTAACCAACTTGACTTACAAAAAGTTCATTGAACATTGGCAAAAATCGAACATTTCCACTAATTTGAGCTCAATTTCAAGGTGCTTTTCATCATGAAAGCAATCAAAATCATGTCTATTTCTGTAATATATCTTCCATTCTATCAAATGAGTCCAAAAAAATGAGAATACAACCATAAAAACCATACGAAAATATACTGCAAAGAGGCGGCTGATGGCTGAGAAGTGAACTACCTTATTTATCGTCCGTCATTTTTATTTTTGTTGTACGTTAAGAAGCATCTTTCCATCATACATTGCCCAAGTTTCAATGAGATAGCCCAACAAACAACCTAGAAAAAAAAATATTTACCAAAATCATATATGGCAAGCCCAAGCCAGGTACTGGAAATAAGTCACTTTGTCTGACTTTTTTGGGTTATCCTAGGTTCTGTATACATACACTGCTATGTATAATAATCTATGTAACTGTATTTGTGTATACCTGAATAAACTTATTTACTTCTAGTCTGTCAACTGAGTACAAGAAACCACCCATTCACTTATTTCAACTACCCAATAAAGTGATCAGAAATTGGCAATTTGGCCGATTTCACACAAATTTCAACAGATGCCAATTTCAAAATAGGGTCCAGAATAAACAATGCAGATATTCCTGGCACTAAAATAACATTTTCTCTGTTCATTAGTCATGGCTACAGGCCCCTCTTATATTACTCTTGCTTTCCATTTTGAATTTTTATTCACAAAAAAATAGAAGATTTACGGTTATGCAGACTGCTGCATTATTGTAATAATTGTATAAATAATGTCAAGCCATTCTTGACTCTGTATTGGAATTTGGACTGACAGGTGGACAGGTATTGGACGGTGACGCCGTTTGTTTACTCTTGAGCATTGTTAAAGAATAGAACATTTTCGCTACTGTGAGCGCAATTTCAAGGTACTTTTCGTCATGAAAGCAATCAAAATCATATCTATTTTTGTAATGTATCTTTCATTCTATCAAATGAGACTGAAAAAATGAGAATGTAACCATAAAAAACATATAAAAATATACCGCTAAGCGGCCGCTAATGGCTGAGAAGTGAACTCCGCTATTTATGGTCTGATTTCTTTCATTTTTGGTGTATGTTAAGAAGTATCTTTCCATCATACATTGCCTAAGTTTGAATAAGATAACCCAACAAACAACTGAGAAAATAATAATAAAATAATAATAATAATAATAGTATATTTACTACACGTACATGTACAAGGTACACAGGCCTAGCTGACATCTGATATACTTCTATATAGAAAGCTGCTTGTTATGCAGAGTATTTCAAGAAAATTAGGTCAGTGTCCCAGGATAACACCCACACTAGTCGGCTAACAACCAGGTACCCATTTACTGATGGGTAAACATAGACAACAGGTGTAAAGAAACACGCCTAATGTTTCTACCCAGGCTGGGAATCGAATATTTACCAAAAGTCATGTATGGCTAACTCAAGCCAGGTACTAGAAATAAGCCACGTTGACTTTTTTGGGTTATCCTAGGTTCTTTACACATATGCTGCTATGTGTGATAATCTATACAGAGAAAATAACTTTTGTGTTTCAAGTTTATGGTGCAGTACAAGTGTATATCATAGCCCTGTGCTATACTCCGTTTTCTCTAATATAAGCCCCCAAGACAGGGATAGGAGAATGGTATTTTTATACCATATCCTCTTCGTACCTCCGTTGAACTGC